ATTGGCCGGTGCAATTTTTTCTTTTTTTTTTTTTTGTGTTCGTATGAACGAAACTTGTTAATTCGTTTTTTTTTTTTTTTCTTACTAGAAATGTAGTCTCTTAAACGATTTTCGATTGATCGACGTTTTCTTGTGTTCTTGTTTTTGTAATTTTATAAGTAGCTATTATAATTGCGCTTACATTTAATTGAATGAATTAATTCGATACTTAAAATATGGAACAATGTATATTTGTATTTACATTTGTATTTTTTCTAGAGACACTGTTATTTATTTGTATTGACTCGCCATTTCTATGTCAATAGAAAATACAAATAATTTTTTAATTTTTATATTTCTCTTACAAATAAGATAAGATAAAGAAATAAGATAAACAATCATCATTGTTTCCATGTTTTAAAAATGAAATAACAAATGTTTGTGGAAATCGAATTATTCATTTTGAATCAACAGAAAGCCAATTTTGTTCGAGTTCAAGAGTGATATACATATATATATATATATTTATATATATATAATAATTACGTAGTAGACGTTAACGCCATCTTCATTGTGTTTTCTGTAATATCAGTTGTTGTTGTTGTACGAATTGCATTTTATTTCGTTAAATTCTTGTTGCTCGACTTACCAGTGTTACACTTCCCGCATTAAAACTTTTATTACGGCGATGTGCAATTTATTTCAGCGACGTGACCTCCACGTGGTCTATCGTAGACAAATTTACGAGTGTACTTGGTGCAATCCTTTAGAGCGTCCAGAAGGTCGTACGCGAGTCTTCATATCTTACAGTGTATATTGTGTAGCATGTGTAAATAAATTTTAAAGTCAATGTCTAGTTTAATTAATAAATTCCCAAATATATATATATATATATATTTTATATTTTGAAGTATATCAATGATCAAAAGTTTAAAATCATTGATTTAAATTCATAAAATTCGATTATTTAAAAAAATAGTGAATTAAAGTTTCTTCATTATCTTAGAAAAAGATTGATTGATTCAAATTTTTAGATGATGGTAAATGTATATGTTACATGTGTAAAAAAAATTTCTTAATTTATTTTTGTTTATCATTTTTTTATTTCATCTAATTCTTAGAAAAGAGTTATTTAACATGTCGAAATTAAAAATATGAAAAACTTATAATACATATAACAACGAACAATTTGGTGAAATGATGAAAATGAAAAAAAAAAAAATGATATATATAATTAAAATAAAAAAACTACTAATATTTTCCTTCTTGTTACTCGCAATTGTCATTATATTCTCCGACATATAATATATTTTTACAAATACATTTTCTTTTCGCTTATACACAAACTTTTTCAAGAGTCGGGTAGGAAATTTAAGATAATTATTCCATTTAGCGTAATCGTATATACTTTCTCTTCGTCACGATTTGCGATGATTACGTAACGCCAAAACTGTATACTAATCTGATAATATCCAATGTCATTGATAAAAAAATTACGAAAAAGAATCGTCTTAGTTCGAGATTGGCCTCGAGAGATATCGTGATCACGATATTTCATCGATAAAATTTATGTCGGTGAATTAGTATTTTCTAACATCGATTTACTTTTTATGTGTTTTTCTTTTAAATAAATTATCTTATATTAATGGCAACATCGAAAGCACGATGCTTTTTCTATATTTTTTTTTTCTATTTCTTATTTCTATTGATTGCATTTATGTATATTATGCAAATGCATTTTACGATAGCTGCGTCAAAGAAGAAACGCACGATAACTTTGGAAAAGTTCTTTTTATAAGCTTCTGTTTCCGCTTCTCGAGACGAATTCGATCTGGACGATTCCTTACATTAATTTTTCTTTATACATACGTCCTTGTCATCGAAATCGATATATTAAAACCTTGTATCAAGATTATTGTTCTCAAATCTATTTTCCTCCGGATTACAAAATTTTTCAAAATTATTCGAAATATTGATTAAGATTTATAAAGATATTTATTTAGTGTAGTGGTTCAAAATAATAATAATATAATTTAAATTACATATTTATCGTAAATTAGAATTAATCAGAGGAAAATAGGAAAACAATTTATTCACGGAATACGTATCAAGGTTTGAATAAAAATATTTTAATTACAAGTATTACGCGTATCGTTCAGACAAGCAAGCAAACATATATATTCAACAACGGCGATAAATATCTTAGATATAAACATTAATATTTATTGGCTAAAAATCTGTCAACCATACAACATAACATGTAATACGCAATAACTAAAATTTAAAAAGGATGGAAAACAATCATTCGAATAGATTCATAATGGAAATCTTTCCTTCCATCGTCATTTTATTTATACATAGTTCATAAGCTGGGCAGGCTCGTGCGGAATAATGTTGCAACACGTTAACATGCTATAAAACATGACGCAGAATTTTTATTGACAATTAACCTGTACGCAGCAATTTTCTCGTAATTGCAAATTATGCTTTTAAATTCACTCATTTTTATTTTTAATTCTAATATTTTTTAAATTATTTTATTTTATTTTTATATTTTAAAATTATTAAAAATGAAACGATGAAAATTAAATAATTATTTTACGAATTAAAAATTGCAACGCACAGAAAATACCTGTATTATACACAGAATTTGTATTATACATATGCATACATATGTATATAATTTAATATTCGAAGTCTTTAATGATCAGGACCGAAAATTATACACAATACAAGTCGTTCCAGTAATTACAAATTGCGAGCTGCACGCTTTTGTGTGTTACTAATAACAAGAACATACCTTAAATTTTATCTTATTGTCGTATAAAATGCATATATCTTTTGACATATCTTCAAGTGAATTTTACACCCCAATCATATAATAAAATGCTTTATGTGCTCGATACTTATCGATATTTTGTGCGATACAACGATGTTTTTTTTTTATTCTGTATTTACTTTCAACTATTTTATGCCTCTCGCATCTCTCTTGATTTATATCTCTAATAGGATATTTCTGTAAGACGATTCGATTTATTATTTCGCACAATCTTTGTATGATTATGTACGAACCTGTATCTCGTATTTTAATTAAAACGAAACAAAAAAATGGTTACAAAATCTTAATCGATACGAATACGTGATTTTCGCAATTTTCGATTCAATTGAAAAGTATTTTTTTTTTTTCTTTTATAAAAATCGAATTTCATTAACCTGAAGTGTGCGTTGATTGTTCGAAGTATGCGATTCTTCACACTCTCAATTTAACACGCGCACGCATGCATGCACATACACACGCATACACACATACATACACGATCGCGAGTGTGTGAATATTGTTGATATATCGACAAATTTTTTGAGCCCTCTTGTAACAATTGTAAATTAATAATATCATTTATCATTTAAAAATCTACAAGTTATCGATATTAAAAATGTGCAATAATAATTTTATTAATAAAATGCAAATAAAGTTTTATAAATAAATTTTACTTATGAATCATCTGATTTATTCGATGTAAATTAATAAAATTGTGAAAGAGAAATCTATATTACTTACAACTTGACAAATCTTCAATATTTTAGTTAATAAATTATTGCAAGAGAGGGCCCTGGTAGTATCATACTTGTTAAATTCTATCAATTTGCTTTTGAAATGCAATAATCTTTTAATCTTGATAATATTGCTTTTAAACAATGGATTTTGTATCAAATGTTTTCAATTCATTGAACTTATACTTTCAGATTTGTTTAAAAATATTTTTTTTTTGTAACTTTGGTGCTTTGTGAATTTTTAATTTGAATCAATGTATTGCATAAAAGTATTTGAAATATTCGACACAACGTACGTAATTATAAAGAAGTCATGAATCAAATCAAATGTATGTATATATGTATGTAAATATTATTTATGTCTCTTTATATTTTCTTATTTGTATGTCACTATAATTTGCAATAGCTGTTATATCTTAGAAATTTATATCGAGTGAATGTTTAGATAATTGATCAAAGCGAACAATTGATAATTTCAATTTTTACTCGGTATGAATTGTGATATGATTGCATTTGTTTACAACATTGTTAAATTTGTATGCGATTCTTTCATACGCAGGTAACAGTATTAGGAAATTAGGATTACTACGATTCGATTAAAAATGCGTAATATTTCTAACCTAAAAAAAAAAAAAGTTCGTAATAAATCAAAATTTCTAATAATGTTTTCATCTATTTTTCATTTTTCTAAAGAAACACGTATTCGATCATTTTTTATATATAAATTAAAAATAATAGTCAAAGTAATTATCATAAATATTTGTGTCATTGTCTGTCATTTCTAACTATACAAATAACATTTCAATATAATACATTCTGACACATTTAATATTACAATTATATTGAACAATTTTCTTCCTTTCTTTCAACTATCTTTTCAAATCATATATTATTTTAGAACAAAATCATTAATCGTGTAAAATAATCGATCGTTAATCATTGAACTATTTGGATAGATCTACACAATTTACGATTTGATTTAACATGAATCACAAAGGTGATCGTTTCTGTAACAAGAAATACAATTTTCGTTCTTCTACTTCACAGGTATCTCAGGATTATTTTTACCTAAGAGTAATATCACTACATTCGCAATCATTTATAACTATTGAAATAATAAGAATTTCGTCACTCTCATTGAGTAACGAAATTAATAAAAATTTTGTATAACTATATCATTAAAGATATTTCTTCATTATCGTCATTATACATAATACGCTTCTTTCGTACAACGAGGTGTCATTTGGTGGTAACATAAATAATTTACAATAAAGCTAACAAGAAGACATTGTCACCACGAGCAAATGACACGTAATATATATATATATATATATACACACGTGTATATATACATATACACGTTATACGGATTTAATATTCACTATTTACCAATACAGTTCTTTGATTTATACAAACCATGAACGCCTAATGTCCATTAGAAAGTACCATTTAAGATTCTTCTTTTTCTCTTTTCTATTTTCACTACCATATTTTCCACTCATTTCTTATTTTTCTCAATCCTTCGAATTTGTCACAACCATATCTAGACACGATAATTTTATTTTTTAAAGAAAATTCTTTGTTATCATTAAAAGAAAATTAAGACTGAAATAATAATAAATCTCACCTCATCGCTATTCAGTACTAGTCAAACTTCTCCACTCGCTTCACCATTATCATCTTGCTTTTTATCCTGCTTTTCTTTCTCTCTTTGCCTTTCCTTGCTCTTCTCTTTCTCCATTTCTGTTTCTTTCTCTTTTTCAATCTCCTTTTCCTTTCCACTTTCCTTCTCCTTCTCTCTCTCCTTATCCTTCTCCATATATTTCTCTTGTTCCTTCTCTCTCTCCTTCTCCCGCTCTTTCTCTCGTTCTCTGCCCCTTTCCGCCTTACGCTCTCTAAGTATTTCCATTCTACGCGCTCTGTGCAAACTTCCAGAAGGAAAAGTGGAATCTTCGACCGCGGCAGCCGCGGCCGCACTCGCACCTCGCTCCACGGCCGTCTGCTCAATAATTTACTTAACTGTATTTTTCAATATGTCCTCCACCTGATTTTATTCACGTAAAATAGACATCGAATAACGAATAAGACGAGTTAGATACATACTTTCAATATAAAACTGGCCGTCGAACTTTTGGCAATTGGACTCTGCGCCGAGGACGGATGACTATGCCCGTGTCCATGGGTGCTAAAGTAGCCACCTGCTTTCGGTTTGATGTGACGATTGTACATTTCCATATGTACTATTTTCATAAATTCTATCTGTGCTGCTAATTTCTGAATTTCTTCCTGTAATATGTGATAATTGGATGGATATTTATATAAATTTTGATGAACGTATCTATCTATAAAAATAGAATTGAAATATGGAAATTTAAATATACATTCTATTTATATTTAAATTTCTGTGTAAATGCATAAATTTCTGGTGGAGTCTAGTGATTATTATATCTGCAGAATTTAAAATGAGACTATGATACCTTCAGTTCTTCGTTTTCTTGGTGCAAATCTGTCGCTTCCTCGGATACTAAACCGATTCCATTTAAAGAGAAACTCGCTGTGACACCTCGGGCTCTAGCACGGCTGTCCCATTGATCTCCTTGACCACGTAAAACTCGAATCACCTGAAATGTAATTAATGATCGTTTAAAAAGGCAATATAGAGTTTACTATATAAAGTGTTCATATATTGATGAGAAATCTTTCTATTCCAAAATAATCTTTGTTCAATATGAAAAATTTTCTGAAAATTAATAAACAATGTACAATGAAGAGATGTCATATATATTATGTGAGATAATACGTTAATAAATAAAGTTGAACTAAATATAATACTTTTGTATATTAAATTTTGTGTTTATTTTCTTATTTGTTAATTTCTAGTGTCTCCTCTTCAAAGTGTCTCACGAATAAATTAATATCCTGTATGGGAAAGAAAGTGAAACAGCTGATGAATAATTACCTTGGGCGCAAATACAAGAAACACAGTGACAGAAGTAGACAATTGTGTACGTAGAAAGCCTAATAAATATTTGATATCTGGGCCAGCATGAGGGAAAATGAAGAGACTGCAAAGAAAAACGTGGAACTTAACACTCGATTCGACAATAACGTTGGAAATATATAATAAAAATAAAAATTCATACTGAATGGCGATCATGGTTATATTCACAGCTGCTATATTGTAAATAGCATAGCTTATCAAACGCGCCTCATTAAAAAGACTTTCTGCATTGCGAACGTTGTAACAAACTTTAATGCCCCATGCAAGGAACAGAATTTCTCCTGAAAGGAAAATTTCAATTACCATGTATTTTTATTGATGTTTTTAAAAATATTTTGTCTAATCTAATTTTATAATTTTTTTTTTTTTTAGTACCGATAGCTAAACTATGGTCCCACCAATTGAAGGAGCATTGATTGAACTTCAGACCATAATTGTCGGCTATCTCTTCAGCGTATGGTGGCGCGCTGAGCGTCCACGTGCCCAGATAAATTAACATTACTAACAATATCGGGACCATCCATTGCAGCAATTGTTTGTCTGTGAGCTTTACTTTGTGCGCGCTTTTTACACGGTATGTGAGAGAAACTCTAATAAAAAAAAAAAAAAAAAAGAAAAAGGACAATTTGTACGATATGATAAAAAGTATATTATTATTATTCATTATTGAATTACAAATAAAATTTTAATGATTTTCTTCTTTGATTATTAATTTGTGTTTCATACCTCCAGGTTTTCATCAGCAATGCGGTATAAGAAATACAAAAACCAAGATGTCTCGTCCATTTGGTCGCGATACAAGAATACATGTCCAAAACCGGAAATATTGCGGCCATCTAAGTACGTAGAAAGTACGTGAAAAATAATTCACGTGATGCACATATTATTACATTTTTATGTATACGCGAAATAATCGTAAGAAATTGCAGGGCAACTTGAAATAACAAATTGTACATACTTCAAGATACATGATGGCGCAACCCAAAAGCGTGATAGACAAAAATATCGGTGAAGCAACTTTGAACACTTTGAGTTTACGGTGTTGATACATGTAGACGACTAGGATGATAGTACCAAACACACAGAAAATAGAGAACGATAAAAGAGCGATTCTGCAAGTAAAAGACATTCTCACTAAATTTCTACAATTTCATCGTAATTGAAAATTCCTTAAATTTCAGAAATACTCGGTCACTTTTGTTTAAAGAAGTTTGGAACGTATTCGTACCGGAAGGGCCAGTTGTAGGTGGCCAGGCAAGGTTCCGGCCCCTTACACTTAACGCATCCGGGGGCACAACGTAAGCAACGAAACATGGTCATGTACCAATCGCTTATGTTTTTTTGCATTTCCTTCCAGGCGGCTATAAATTTATGTTTCAGCTAAAGTAAAAGTTATACTAATGATGCATTCGTTCGAGACGAAGAGTTGAACTATCCTTACTAACTTTCGACGAGGATTCCATTGAAAGCGGATTGATGTTGGTTCTTGTCGTAATAACCTTTTCGACATTTACATATATATGCACCCTTTGCCCAACCAGCACCAACGCCATTTTGATTTATACGATTGCTCGGACTTTGATATTCACACTAAAAATCAAGGTAGAGACAAATTCTTGAAATTGAATGAAAGAATTTTTAAAAGGTAATAATTCTTTTTCGATAATTTCAGTTTTAAAAGAATCACCTGAGTGGTATCGGTATGACATTTGTGCGTGCCTTTAAAAGATGCTATCTGATTACTTAGAATTTCATTCTCATTGCTATGCGGCGATGGATCACATTGATTCACTTCTAGCCCGCTGATATCGATATCTACGCTTAAAAATTCACGAACCCTTGAACAAAATATAATTTCATCAACATTTGTTGAAATAGCTGATCGTTTGATTCAGAATAAACAATTGGAAATCGATCCAAAGAGTTGTTGAGATTCGAAACAGTGACTCAACATTGACTTATCAAATGGAAGTTTTTACACAATCAATGCAATATTGTTGCACAGCCATCTCGTTGCATTTTACAACATTATTTTCCACATTAACTACATAAGTAATTTTCATTGACGAATTAAAATTTTATTTAAGATCAAAGATTTAAAGTTAAAAATTAATTAAAACGATTGATACGAACCCGTGACGAGCGTCTGGCGGTCGTATGTTAACACTGTACGAAATCAACCATCGATGACTTTTGCAGGAGAAATACGGGATGGTCCACCAACCCCTGTAGGATTCAATCGCCGGTGACTGCATGAATTTCGGTGACCTGGGATAACACGCAAACGCCACAAACCGCCATAGAAACTTCGATTTTTTCACGCATACATGTTTCGTGCAACGACTCCATTATCGTATAGTTTGCTTTTTCTTTTTATCTCTTTCTTTTTAAATCCTGGCACTTCACGGTCATCCGGTATATACGAATAATTAAATTTTGAATTAAATATTGGATATTGTCTGAATGTGCATTTAGAACTTTCTAATTAATTAGAGTTCACCGTGTAATATGTTAATATTGATATACTTTGACATTTTTCTTTTATGTTATATTGTATTAATATTTTTCTTTTTGCGAGTAAAAAAACTAGAGAGTATTACTTTCTAAAGATTATTATTTTTCTCGCATTTTACTTTTTAACTCTAAGAAATTTGAAAAAATAGTCTATATTCATAAATACATTTATATCTATAAAATAAAAGGGAAAAAAATGAAACACTCTCTATATTATAACTATTGTTTTGAATCATAACCAGAGATTATTTCTCATACATATTTTCATAAAATATGTATGAAAATATTTGCCTCGTAAAATATGCATTAGTTTTAACATGTTAAATCCTAAAGCGATCGCGATAATTAATTTTCAATATTATAATTATTCTCAATTACCATCATCCATTAAAATTTTAATTCAATTTTAATTTATAAATATAATAATAATTTAAATAATATAAGTGAGATAATTTTCAAATAGACAAAATTGAAAAAAATAATTTACAGTTTTCTTTAGGAACGGCCATTGAGTGAATTTTTTGGCGCTTTCATAGCTCGCATTAAACAATTTAAAAAAACTACATCCACATTTGTCTGTAAATTGTCGTTTTCTCTGGTGAACATATTCGTCGAAATCGATCCAAATACGATCGTCTGGTCCAAATACCAATCATTTTGTTACGATAAACACCCACGCAATAATTCGACCGATGCATACTGCATTTTTCATCCTGATTCGGACTCTACTATAAATACTATAATACTATAATACTGTAATCAGTGTTGTCAATCGTTTCATATTGTTATATTCGATGGTTAGTTTCACGATGCCAAGCTATAAATATCGTAGCGCCGTACACACATATGATAAAAAGCTTTTAACGATGTACCGTTGGCATATTGATTATCGTAGAATTCTCTTTAAGCGATTACATTCCCCTTCAAAATGAACACCCTTGAATACAGCGCGCCGTATCTTTAATATTTAATAAACGGAAAAACTGTAAAATTTTCGTATCCGACATTGCGTATTTATAGAATCGAATGTTTGTAAATTTTTTAATATTCAGACAATATTTTTTAACGAATGTTAGAAACAAGAGAAAAATTAAAAATTCGAAAAATTCGAATCTCATTTCTGCGTGTCGAGTTTCTATGACTTGACGCTTGTACAAGATGATGAAGGATGATGAATGATCGTGGAGCGCCTATAAAATGTTTATTTTCTTCTCGGTAGAATTGTTCTTAGATAAATATTGATTTATGGTAAGAACATCGTGTTTTGTTAAAATTTATGATATTTATATTTTTATCGATTTTTGGTTACTGCGTTCAACTACTTTACCGAGAAGAGGTAACGAAAATTGAATATGGAGGGCGAGATGCAAAATAAAATTTTTCTGTGCTTGTGCGTGTGCGTGCGTGCAGGTTGATGCTTCTTAAAAAGCTAGGTGCAGATGTGATCACGTTATATTTTATTAATCGATGAATGTTATTTCTTATGAATATTACGAGAACTTATATAATATATTAATTATATAATTTTAACTTAACTATATTTCTTTTATTCTAATTTCGCTAAAAAAAAAAAATTAAAAATTATACTAATTGCACAATTCGATATTAACTAAATACATGTCTCTTTTCCAGGTTTCGATAAGAAAAATGAAAAATGGATCGAAATATGAATATATCGATACATGCGATTTTCGAGAACGTGCATCGAATAAAAATCGAAAAAGGTGCATGAGAGTTTGAAGTTCGAACGGTTAGATGAATCTAACCTTAATTCTGTACTGGCACCCGCATTTTCGAACCACGGTAAATTAGAATCCGGTATAGATCCCGGCTGGAGTCCATGGTTCTCGACCTTGAATGGTTCTCCGACACTTCCCGGGCTTCTTTCCAACCAGACTGCGCTAATTACTGCACCCGTGGACGCGTTTAGTGCGATCACCCTTGTCTCCACGGCGTCGTTCACTGACATCAGTAACGACTTTGCTAGCACATCTAAAAGCGCTACAATATTAAATTTCAACGAATTATAAATGTATCAGCTATCAACTATTATTAACGTATTACGTGATAATATATAAAGGTTTGTCTCTTTTTATACAAAAATTGTGTGTTTAAAAATTGATGATAAAATTGTATATTGAGCCTAAGAAATTGTAAAAATTTTGTAAAACTATGTAAAACAATTATGTAATTCGATATAGAAAATAAGTGTAAACATGTCCTAATCAGAAAAATAAGAGTAATATAAATAATAGGGTATAATAGATACTGTTTTACTCATGCAATAAATAGTAGTGTAGGCATGTTCTAGTCAGGCATTAAGTAGTAGTGTAGACATATTCTAGTCAGACAAGAAGTAGTATAAATACTTCCTAGAAGTGATACTTATTTTTAATATTACAATTAATATATTTTTATAGTACATTATGTTTATACAATAATTGTATATAAATATATATATATATATAATATATTATATATATATATATTTATATGTAATTGTATAAAAATATATATAAATCTAATATATGTAAATTTATTTTTGAAAATTTTAATGGCTATAAATACATAAATTAAAATTTTGTAATTATTATAATATTTTATCATTAATCATTGTTCGATTAAACGATAAATAGGATATATAAAATTCATATGTGAATAATAAATTATAATAAATTTCATTTTTTCAGTTCAAAGATGTTAAAGAACCGATTTTAAAATCAGTACACGCGCAGAGTCGCAAAAGCATGAAGATATAATCGATGTACCTCGATAGCATGCATATTCTCGTTACCATTTTAGCCGATGAAATTCGATTAGGTGATGATATACCAGGTCCCGGACAAATTGGATTGTTGACAATGCGGTCTGTCATCGTGCACGGTTTATTAGCCAAATCGATTTTATCTTTCTCTTATAGATTGAAACGATTTGGAATTCGATAGAAAAAAAAAGAAAATAGATCTTCTTTAGTTTGGAATACTGGAAACACCATTATCCTTTCTCATTTTTCTTGTTTAATAACACGTGAGAAGGAATTGTACAAAAGTTTTACATGGTAAGATAGAAAAAAAAAAATGAAATTTTTCTATTGTGAAATATACGTTGTTTTAAAATTTCAATATTATATTTCACAGTGTATATAAGAAAAAAACGTTACAAAAGTAAGTTATAATTTATTCATATTATCTTAAGATCTTTAATTTTTCTGTTTAATTATTCAGTATACTCACTATTATGCCTTGATACTCCCACAGTGCCAAGATTTTGGAGCATCAGGGCTGTCATGTCAGCTTTTTGACGTGCGGTATCGTAACGTCGAGGATCAAGTGCTACGGCAGCTGGTAAAGATTTAAAACCAGCTGTCGTGGCACAATCTTCACCCAGTGATCCGGTTGATGCCGCTTCTATCACGTCCAGAGCTTCTTCGATATCCGTCTTCGAAATAGAACAGGTTATAGATTCTATTAATTAATCCAATGTAATTTTAAATGAACTTCTTTCAATATATATTAATTTCTTTAGGATTTGAATCTTAGAATCCAAATATAAACAATGGAAGACTCTTTTAAAATTCAGCTTTAACTTCAAATGTTCCAAGATCAATATTGCTTTTAGTGTTAAATTAATTTAAACAATTTAAATTAGGACAAAAATTTTTGGTCTCAAGAATTATAATTGTTAGAGGATTTTTCTAAAATTTAGCACTTCAATATTAAATTAATTTAAATAATTTGAACACAAGGAAAAATTTTTTGCTAAAGAATTAAAAGTTACTGAGAAATACCCTCTTTTTTCAGGATTCTAAAGAGTACTTTTAAAACTACAAAAAAAGAGGTATTATTTTTGGTATTTAATTCATTTGAATAATTTAATATTTAAAATTTGTCCAACGTTATTGAGAAATATCCTTCTTTCAGAGTTCTAAGGATTAATTTTTAAGGAGAATAGTAGAAAGAGATATTTTACCCTTTTCGTATCGAGAATCTCGGTGCTGGTGATCGTAGAGAGGGACGGTACCGAGGTCGAGGTAGCCGTCGTTACAGTGGCGTACGCCATCATCGTCATCGTCGCAGGAAACAGGGCCCAAAGCCAAGATTTGCCCATCCCGCGTACTGCTCATTTGTACTTTGAAATAAATGCTTGTCATTTCATTCTTTATTATCGTGTTTATAAAAATAAGAAGAAAAAGTCGAAGATAATTTTTTAATTAATTAATTCCTCTTTTCTTCTTCTTTTTTTTTTTTCAGTGATACGTGATACATAAATACATAACTAAGTGCGTATGGTTAAAGGTAAAAAGAGTTTGAATAGTACAATATAGATTAATAATATCATAATAATATATTAATTTAAAAACAAACCTTTTTCTTTTGCATTCAAGTGGCACCAAGTTTGAGCCCCGGATCCATGGGGCGTTCATCCACCCCCTCTGATTTCCTCGACATTCTTCTCAACGATTTTCTTGATTCTCTTTGATCACTTCACTCACTTTTGTTCAATATTCATCACGAAAAAGTGATTCTATCAAACAAAAGGTATATTCACTTATATAAAATAAAATTATCTATTCTCGATAATTTTTAATAATATAAATAGAAAAAAAATATATATATATATCGTTTTAATATATAGAATATCTCAATGAAAATAATAAATAATAAATTTTTCACGTTCTCTCTCTTATAAACACGTTTGCCATATCAGTGAAACTCGCGTGCATATACGCGAGTGAAATAATTTCAATGTCGTGCCGCTGAAGGGACGTTAATTTAAATAAAGTAGACCATGATAGAATTTTTCTCAAGGGCCCTTCCGCAATTCGTGCGATGGTGTAATTATCCACCATTATAAAATCTTCTTGCCAGTTCCCTGCTTCGTGCATTAACAAATTAAATTTATCGTTTATCGCGAATCTATAATGACTGTTTAACGAGGATGTTGAAATCATTTTAAATGGATTAATATCCTTTTCAACGATGCTATTTATTTTGCGCAATTCGTTTTCTTTTTACACGGTATTTTTTTTTTTTTTAAAAAGAAATTATCACGTCCATAAAATTGTAACACAATAACTCGTTTATTTCAAAATTTTGATTCAATGATATTTTACTATATGTAAATAAATTACAGCACAGAAATTAATTTCGTTGAGATATAAAGTTCTGTTCTTCCACAGATATTTCATCCACATACACATATAGTATTTTATGGAATATTTTAGAAATTTTTTCTTTATTTAGTGTTATTGTCTAATACAATTGCAATTGTACAACTACATGCGTATGGATATACGTATATTAAATTATTGATAGGGGTTATGGAACTTGTTAAAGGTTGAATAAATCTTCACGTTTCACTTGTCAAAGACTAGTGAAGATAATTAACTAGTGGAAAATGAAATCATGTACACAGCTCTTTCTGTTGTGCGCGAACGAAACACGAAAATTTATTACTTCGATTCATCACACGTTTATATTCCTCTTTTTATCATATTTATTTATTCCTCACCTTTCAATCCATAATATTGGAAAAGGTCGAGTGAATAATAAATGGAAATTTTGTTTCGAAAGATTGAAACAATAGATAGGAGAAATAGATTTGGTAGAATAGATTAAAACGTTCCCTTCCGTTTCGTCCAAGATTCAATAAGTTTTTGTGTAGTTGGCTAAATACCGACTTTTTAAAACGACGAGAACAAAAGAATTAAGAGAGGTACATGTCGATTCCAACGCTCGTCGTATCGGAAATATCATGTTTGTTATCCGTACACAGCTTTGACGATTCTCTCGGCCTTTCTATCCCAACAATAACGTTTTCCGATATTGTTTGGCGCAAATAGACTTATAACCAATAATTTTTTCAAGAGTGAAACGTGCAAATTTTATATTTCAGATAGTGACATAGATATCTTTGTAAAGTTTCATTTATTTAAATAATTTATTTTACAGTCAATCATCTTATTCATTTATACAAATTTTATATTTTGTAAGGATTCATATTTGAGAGTAAAATTCTCGAGAGTTGTTCTTTGTCGATAACTACTGTATCGACAGTGTAAATTAATACAGGATAATTATTCTTGATGCAATGCTCTCTAGTGGAAAATTTTTGCAACATAGATACTTTCGTCAAGTTTTATTTATTTAAAGTATGGTGTTTAATCATTTCTTTCAGCAAATTATTATATTTTCCAAGGATACATATTTGAAAGATAAAACTTTTGAGAATTATAATCGAGAGTTTTTACTGCTTTTAATTATTTTAATAGATAATACATCCGGAATAAAAATTAATGATTGAGAATCACTCTGAATGCAATGCCCTCTAGTGAAAAATTTTTGTAACAATCAAATACGATTATCTCATTTAAAACGATTTTGAAATAAAATGTGTATCAAAATACAGGACGATAGTCAAGGCCAGTGTAATAAAGGTCTGTTTGATGAACATTCCTGGACGTCGGACCTCGAACTACTTCCGTTACCCTTGGGAATCCTGCTCAGGGACGAATGTATTATGAAAGCATGTTAAGCCTCTTGTCTTTGCATTTTTGAATCTAATGAAAAGCTTGAATTTATCACTCGTTCCTTTTCATTGTATCAATATTAAAATTTTATTCTTCTAAGAATGTGCGATAACATAAAAAAAAAAGAAAAGAATTTAAAAATAAACAAAATTTCAATTTCAGGTTTCGTTCGATCAACAATGTTATGAATATAATGGCAAACAATTTGAGATAAATACGTCGGAGAGAACGTGATGGTTATCCTTCAGTTCATTATGCATTAATGTCTCTTAACCAGTTATATCGAGATCTATGGATCCATCGAAGCGTTCCAATTATTCTCTCGACGAACAAAGACAAAGTTTATTCGTATGAAACATTGAAAAGGATTTGTTTGCCAGAATGCACTATTTTAAGATGCACAATAATTTATTAATAGGAACTTATGAAACTTATTATAGCCGATGCGTTTATTCTAAAATCGATTGAAAAAAGTATCAGATTTTTTAGAAAAAATAACCATCTCTATTTTCATGTAATAATACTTTGTTACAGATTCTTCGAAATTCTTGGAGTAAATAATGTACACGTTGAAACAAATATTATAGCCGGTCTTGTGAAATCAACAGGTAATACTTTCAAGTAAAAAAAACTTAGATAAAATGAATATATATGTACATATATCTGTGATTAGTCGATATAGTTCACCGTCAAATAATTTCTCTGACATATATTTCTTTTTTTAACATAAAAATATAGAATATATATAATATAAATTCAATTTGATTCATTTTTACAAAGATATGATGCACAGATATATTAATTGCGCGTGTAAATTATCAAATTTTAAAGTGTAGTGAACATCCTTCGTTTACTCTTTTTCTAATTTTTAACAATTGAAAAACGAAGCGCGGTCCCCCTCTCCAATTGAAAATTGTCAAAAGTGGGATGATAAAAATAGGAGATCGATCGGTTTGCATAATGAGTCGTTAACAAGATTTACGATAGTTTTCAGGGGGAAGGAGAGCGTATCGTTCGCTGGAGAAGAGCTTTACCGCGCGCAGTAAGGACGATCGATGCAGCCACCGGCACAACCAGCCGCCCCCAGATCTCACGACCCCGTGTTCCTCTCCCTCTCCCTTTCTCTCTCTCTCTC